CATTCTCTAGCATAGGAGCTAGGGCTGGTATTATAATAAGAGATCACTTTGGGTTGCTAGTGTTAGCTCAAATAGTGAAGTTAGATTGAGGGAGATACACATATTGTAATTAAAACACTATTGGAGGAAGATTTTAGGCTCAGTTTGGAAAGAGTACAAATATAAATATGTATAATGCAAATACAAGGTTTAGAAATACAAAATACAAGGTTTTGTACTTCATATAGCTTAAGAGAAAATAAGAGGCAGAATCATTAAGTCTATGCTTGGTTTGATAGAAAATAGAAAGAGAACAGAAAATAGGGGGAAAGATATTAACAGAATTTCCGAAGAAACTACTTAAGATTGTGTTTGGTTTGAAAGAAAAAGGCAGGGAAAGAAATTCCTTGAAAAGTTATTAACAGAAAAATTGTACAAGTTTCTCTACCTTCCCCCTTCATTTCCCTCTTTTTTTTTTTTTCAAACCAAGCACAGTCTAAGAACCTTCCCATTTCTCTATAATTAACGTGCATCGAACAGGAAAGAGAGTGAAGAGTGGATCAGCCCTCTTATTCCACCTTGTGAGTTGTGAGATATCATTGGGTGGTCAACTACTTGGAGGACCTACCAATCTTGCAAGCAATATGATTAGATAATATTTTTCTATTATTAATGAAAATGTATTGTTAATATTGCCAAATCCCTCACGCATTGGGGGTTTTCCTTCAAACACAAGAGTGCCAATTTAGTACATGTACTTTAAATAAATATAAAATAATATTGTATGTATTTATATTGTATATATAAATACATATAAAATAAGGAATCCCAAATGCAAAACCTTGTATTTTATATTATTTTATATGTATTTATATTGTATATATTTTCATTTTACTCTTTTCAAACTGAGTATAAGCTTGCATTTGGCATTCCTTATTTTAAGGGAAAATTTCTGATAGGTACCATGTACTTTAGGCCGAGTGCCAATTTAGTACATGTACTTTAAATTGCGACAATCTAGTGCCTGAACTTTCAATATGCGACAATTTAATACCTGACATTAAATTTTCGTTAATTTGAAGATAAAAAGGCCTAAATACCCCAGGTATTTCGATTACCTATTAAAATTACGAAACCCCCCCTAATTTGTAGTTTCATCCTGCAAACAAATAAATGCAATGGCAGTGTTTCATCACCGCTACAACCTGCAACTCGTCACAACAATGGCATGGCGGTGATTGACGGCAGTTGTGTAAAACAGAGAAGAGAAAAGAGAGAGAGAGACTGATACTGAAGTTCTTTTCCACTCTGTTATTCATTCCTCTAACATAATCCACCCAAGCAAGCCACGGGATGAAGTCCCCCACGCTGACATCCTCCCAGTAGATTCTGGAGTTCTCTCAACATCTGTTTAAACTTCTCCTATTCTGTGCCACTTTTTTTTCTCCCCAGAGCAACCCTACAGATTAGTAGCGTGTTTGGTTCTGTTTACTTTTATTAAGTATTTATTGGTAGTGTTACATAGGCGCCATCTCAGCATTTTCTCTTTCTTCTTCTTTTAGATACATTGAAAATATAAAAAGTGAATTTTAATTTTTGTGCAATCAAACGTTTGTAAAAGTTATTTTTTAAAGCTTCCATGAAACCAGACACATGCTACATACTTCGTGACAGAAACCAATGCGTCGCTCAGGTTGACCAGAGCAAACGAAGAAGCTGTGGAAGAACAGGAGTGTTGGATGTTTTCCATTAAAAGCGTTGTCTCTTCCTCTCTCATCGATCGAAATGATTGCACCTTCTTCACGCTAAGAAGCTGGAGAATGCAGATTCTACGAACCTGACGCCAGTACTCGCCATAAGGTGCAGTTGCCACATCCTTATAATTGTACAGAAGGCGCCTAGCGTTGCTCGTTTGGGGTCTGCTGGAGAAGATGAGGTCATGTGTTTGCATGATTTCTCGAGCTCTGTCAGTCGACGAGACCATGAGGGCTGGTGAGTTTCCCAGATGAAGTAGCATGAGTGTGCCATGGCGTTGTGCGAGTGAGTGAAGATCACGGTGCAGGCACGAACCCAGTTGGTGGAGCGCAGCCAGTCTCAGTGTCGGTCTCTCTCTCTCTTTTCTCGGTTTTACACAACTGTTGTCGATCACTGCCATGTCACTGCTGTGACGAGTTGCAGGTTGCAGCGGTGATGAAATGCCGCCGTCGCGTCTATTGGGGTTTTCCAAGAAGGAGAAGTGGAAAGAAGAAAGAGAGGGAACGCGGGCGGGCGGAGAAACCGCCGCTACCCGAAGTTGCAGCGGCGGTTACTGTTAAAACAGAGGGAGCTGGAAGAGGAGGAAGACTAACTTTTTACCCACTTGGCTTTGGTTGTCTCTTCGACATCGGCAATAAGTCGTCTTTTCCGGCAACGGATGAGTAAACAATAGGCGTAATAATGTTCCAGCGACGGGTAATAGGAGTCATCCTTCGGCAATGGTAATGGATTCTTCAATTTTAAAGACCCCACCATTCTTATTTTTCCTTTTTTATGATTTTCTTCTGCTCTTTGTTTTGAATTTCAAAAATTCCAACAGTTGGTATGAGGCAGCAGATTCAACATAAAGTTGAGCATAATAAGTAGAGTATGGTGATTTGATGCAAAGGGTGCTCGATGCAATTGATAGTGCAAATTAATCTTGAGGTGTTGTTCCTTCTCGTTGCTAGAACACGAGGTCGCCAAATTATGCACCCCCCGCTCCTCACCTACCCCACCAAAAAAAAAGTAGCAATGGTTGATTATACTGAGTTGGAAATTAATTGCCCTTAATCATCTGCTAATAAAACTTGAGAAAATGTATGAAGATAGGAATAAAAAAGAGTGGGAAGGTCATCCAACAACAGAGTAACATTTGACCCACAAAATTATCAACCAGGAACCGCTCTAGTAATTTGTTTGTTAAAAAAATATATGATATTTGCACAATTGCTTTAACAAACTAATTTTATTAATACCGAATATTAAGAATGCGAAGGGGGCAAGGAAGGGAGGGCAGGGGGCGGGGAGCCACTACATCTCTTTTCTTGCGAAAATTTCCATCCGTATCCCTGTCCCCACCAAGATCCTCACTCCTCGTCATTTTTTAACGTTGCTAAATTTATTTTATTTTTGATTTTTATTTCATTCCAATGTCTTTTAAATAAATAATTACAATTTTAAACTTATTAACATAGATTCAAATATATTCAAACACATTTACACATGTTTATTCACATTTTTAAAAATAATAACATAAATATATATGGAGAAGTATGAACAGGCCCAATACAGATTTCTGATTTTCACTGTAGAGCTATAAACATTCAAAATGTCAAAAACCCTCACTCCACACACAAATGCCCACCTTTGGTGTCAATTTCGAGCTGGCACCCACCCCAACTGTACTTTGGGCCTAAAAATTCTGATCCTGTGCTGAACCGTTATTCTCCCTAAATATATATTATTAAGCGTAGGATCCCCACCTCGTGGGGATTATGAACCATACAGAATGCTGTCCTCGTCTCCACCATTAGGGATGAAATTTTCCCTGGGTAGACTATCCCCATCCCCACATTATTTGGAACGGATCCCTGCCATCCCTATAACTATTACCAAAAAAGATCCTAAAAAGCCCTAGAGATTCATGACCTCTTAATTCTAGATTAACTAAACAAAACATTGTAATAAAAGTAAATAACTTACTAAATACATTTTTTTTAATTAAAAAAACTTATAATTAAAATTTAAAAATTTAAGTTTGATAACATAATGCTAACTTATATATTTACTATTTTGTTGCACACATGCATAACATGTGCCCTTGTGATCAATTGCCATACACAATGTAGCCTTTACAAAGATCCCCTATACTATTGGATCAATGACAATTACCTCCTTTGAACTTTCATATGCAACAAAGACAATAATATTGGGTTAATAACAATTACCTTCGCAAACTTTTATTTTCATTTCGCAACAAATACCCTTGGCCATTAAGTTAGATTATGAAATGCATTAATTTACCAAAATACCCACATGAATTTTCTTTATTTTCTTTTCCTCACCCTTTTTTTCTTAAACCCTAATTGACCCAAAAATACCTCAATCTATTTTTTTTCAAACAAAACTAGTTAAAAAAACAAGAATAATTTCATTGACATATCGTTTCTTTAAATTTTTGTTTCATTTCACCAACATAAATGTCTATAACCGTGTTAAAATATAACAAGTATACACTCATTTCTTTGATAAATAAAAAAAAAAAAAAAAACAAACAAAAACCTAGAAGAAACATCTACCATTTTTTAATTTAAATATTGAATACAACCAGAAATTTATAAGGATATATGAAAGCAACCAATAGTGCCTCAATATTATATTTAAAAATCTAATCAAATCATGAATCATTAAAATAAATAAGAAAATGGTAGCTTGCAGATTTAAAAAAATAGCTGGATGAGAATCTCTTTGAATGTCCATTGACCAAACCGATGGAAGGGGTATTTATCCCAAAATGAAAGTTCAGGGCGGTCTGAAATGAAAGCTCAGGGGTAAATGTCACTGATCCCATTAGTAAAGTGGTTTTTATAATTTATCCAATATCAATTACTCCATACACACATCTATCTATGATCTATCAAAGAAAAAACAAACCCCACACACACACACGTCAATTATATATCACGTGGGTACTGGCAATTGTGTCGCCTTTCCTACTCCATAATTCTCTACGGTTTCGGATGATGCATTGATGCAGCATCAGTGATGCTGGTGAGTTATGATGTATGGGCCCACTTCGAATCACCTTCCGTCTAACAATAGCTTAAACGGCGTGGTTGGTTGTGATTGGCCCAGTATCATAATTTTCACGAGTTAAACTGTACAGGATTCGAAGTCCTCGCAGTGAGGTGCGAGCAGTCGCAATCCACCTTGTCACCTACTTTCTACGTGGCACGTGCCAAGCATTTGAAATTGAAGGAATCACCGGAAGATCACACGAGCCGCCTGATTTTCGAATTAAAGCCCCAAAGAAAAGCCCATCTGGACTGGTTCGAAATCGATCTCTATCTCCTGAAGCCATGGAGACCCTACTCATCGACTGTGTACAGAGCAGTCTTCGACATTTCATGCCCCGGAACTCCATTTTTCTCTGCGAGCGCCTGTGCGCGGAGTTTCCTACGGAGGTCAGTATATTCGTCTTCTTCGTTCTTCAGTTAAGACTTAAGATATTGTTCATCAAGAGCGGTTGTTACTTGCCATTTTTTTTTCGGAGGAAGATGGTTATGTTTCTGCTTCTGTGTTGAAGTTCTTTGATTAACAATCATTTTTATGAGCTTAGTTCTATTTACTAGTTGCTTTTATCAAGCAATTTGTCAGGCACTTGCTTGTTCGTTTTCTAATTATGGTTAGGTATTATTACTTTCTTTATTTTCTGATTAATAGAGCGATAAAATTGTTGGACCTCATAGTTCTAGTAGAAGTTCGACCAATGATATGGGATAGGTAAGAGCTTCTTTAGTGTTCGATGGCATAATAAATATTTGCAACCGAGGGAAATATACTGTCATGAAAAATGTTAAGGAAAAAGAAAGGGTCAAAACAGGTGATGATAGTTCTGTGAGATTTATATCTAATGCACATGAATAATTAATGAAATTGAATCTGTTGTACATTAGAACGGATCGAAATGATATTCTCTGTAATGTGTAAACTAATGAAGTTACAGCTGAAACTGCAAGCAGGGTTGATTTTGCTTGACAATGGAACCTACAATATTCAGCTCAACTTTTTTTCTTTTGATAAACAGTGATTGTATTAATATAGAAAAAAGGACAAAGTACCTCAAACTATAACCATTACAATAACCAGCATCGGTATATACATAAATATTCCCACCACACTGTAAAGGAATGCTCAAAAATAAAATTTTCTCATTGCCTTTGAAAGTGATCCTGCTTGAAGCCACACACCCAGTTACTAGAGTTAATTGAAAGGTTGCCTCCTGCCCCACCCATTAAATGCTTTTCATCATAACTTGTGCTGTAATTTATCCTTTGAGATTGGATCAGTTACTTTTTGAACATGAAAATAAGGAGAAATGGTCCATGAAAATCACAAGATTTCTTGTCGATATTAAGAACTAATAATGCTTTAAAGAAAAGATGTGATAATTGACCGTGGAATTAGGTGGGTTAGTTTTGACTTATCATCTTCCACGCTTTATCTGACTTGTGTATAAACCATTTATTTTTTAATTTCTATTTGTAGGTAATAAATAAGATTGGAGTAGCTACTTTTTGTAGATGAAAATAAGGATAAATGACCCATGAAAATCACAAGTTTTCTTGTTGATATTAAGAACTAATAATGCTTTAAAGAAAAGATGTGATAATTGTAGAGTTAGGTGGGTTTGGGAAGATTCCACTCTCAATGATCACACTAAATCATGTGATCACTTATATAAAGCATTTATTTTTATTAAAAGTTTTTAGTTTGTAATCTTTGGAATTCAATTGTATGGAATAGCTATAAGTGAATTATGCCGTAGATGAACCAAACAATGATCCTGTTCAGCATTCTTGAGCCAGAACAATATATTTTTTTTCTAACATTGGTTTTGGCCTTGGCTAGCTGCCCTTACCAATTATCATCATCATCTAAGCCTTGTCCTAACGATATGGGATTGGCTGCATGAATTCTGTTCTTCCAGTATGTTCTATTCAGTGCAATACCACCGACCATCTCTCACTACATTTATCCAATATCCTTTTTGGTCTGTCCCTAGCTCTTCTAGTCCCTTCAACTTGTAATAGATCACTTATTGTTACTGCTGCTGCCCTTACCAATATATCTTGTTGTTATTACAAATCCCACCTTGGGGAATTATATCCAAACACATTTCACTTCTATTTACCCATTGTCATGCAATTCAGGGCTACATTATTTGCTGATTTTGCTGTCTATCTATAAGTTGTTCCCAATTCCATAACTAATTATGTGATTTCCTTTAAGATGTGCCTATGTTTCCATGACCTGATATTGATACTTGTTAATCACACTACTACCATTATGCGAGTCTCCTTCAACAATATGTACTGCAATAATCATGCCATTCTTAATCCTTGAATACAGCCAATATCTTTGCCCAAGTTATGAAATCCATCTGGCCTGAAGTATAGTGCTAGGATATTTCCTTCCCAATTTCTGAAACATCCTATACTTTTGAGCAATGATTTAAAGTGCAAAGGTGTGATGCGAGGCGTTCCACTACCTAGAGATGCGAGACATAGTTTAGAACACAAGAGGTGCAAGCCTCCTCAAGAGGAGGAGGAGTACAGTTCGTGCAAACGGCATTTGAGGAATATGCCTTTTTAGGCATCAATCCTCTAGGAGTGCAACTTGGGTGGGCTTGGGTTGGGGTTATGTCAAAATTTGAATGGGCCTGGCTTGAAGGCTCGAGCCCCGAAGTAGTGTAAAAAGCTAACTTGGGTCGTCCTGAGTTGCACTACTACAATCCTCCACCATGTGCCTCAGGGTGCTTTGACGTGTCTCTAGGCGTATGCCTCCCATGCCTTTTACATTGTTTTGGAGTTTCTTGGGTTCCCCATCTTGCAGCCATCAAAGTTCAGCCTGGTCATACTTGGTGTTGGAGGATGCCAAGGTATGATCGAACACTCCTTACTGAGGATGAAAATGCCACTTGTTGCCAAAGGTGCAAAAAAACCCATAAATTTTGTCCAATATGTTACCTTGACTGTAATGTTTTGTGGGATGACAAGATCTATTCTGGGCACAATTGTAAGAAAGGGGTGTTGTCAAGGGGAGAGAAAAGCTCTTTTATCTCTCACTGTCTTTATATGTACATTTACTCTTTGTACCATTCCATTTCCCTAATTTTAATGAAATTTTATAGTTATTGATAAAAAGAAAAATAAATGATGGCTTCTTTCCTATGACTATGATCTTTCACATTGAATAATAAAGCATTCCTCTCTTCCTTGGTGGAGAAAAGGACTGAATACACTCCCCAAACTTGTTGGGGGACATTTCAAATCACTTTCAAGTCCTGATGGTTATAAGATTGGGTGCCAATTGAATAAATAAAACAATCTTGTCTCTAGCTGAGCCCTATTTCTTCACTTGATCTTTGCCATTTGATAATAATTGCTAATCCTGATTTGCATCTCTCTCTAGCATTAGTGATAATGCGACATGTTACTGTTGTTTTATTTTTACTGTCAGTGCTAATTTTCTTTTTCTTTGTTTATGCTGGATCTCTGACTTCATTTTAACTTGACTGCAAATTTATTAAACACAGTTGAATTTACAACTATTGGCTAGCTGTTACTTGCACAACAATCAAGCTTACTGTGCATACCACATTTTGAAAGGTATTTACTGTAATTGCCTTTTATTTACTTTGCCTTTACTACATGTTTCTATCTAGTTTCTTAAATCTCATTTTACTCAAAACTTGATTTTCATTTATAAAATCTCATTCTTGTTTGCTTTCAAAATATGAAGGAAAACAAATGGCTCAATCTCGCTACTTGTTTGCAATATCATGCTTTCAGATGAATCTTCTTAGTGAAGCTGAAGCAGCATTATGCCCTACTAATGAACCTAATGCAGAGGTATCCAACTTCTTGTAAATTATGAAAAACAAATATCCAAATATTATCAAGGTTGAGAAATAGCAGCATTATGCCCCATGTATCAACCTGTGGCTTAGCTATGCAAATTCCTCATTGTCAAATATTTTAAAATGTTTTTTCATGGGAATGCCTTTGAAAGATCTAAACTTTACTTTGTCTTATATGGCCAGAAGGGTAATTAATCCTCAAGAGGCTAATGAAATGATTGATCTGAGTAAGAAATTTGGTCTTGAGCTTACAAGGAATTTTGAACTTTTAGTTTTTCTCACTTTTGTAATCAATGGTATAGTATTATTTTTTGATAGTAAGTCTTGGTCAGCTCTTCATCTCTTGATGTATGTGTTTTCCTCGGGGGCGGAGGGTAGTTGACTTTATGAATATTTTCATACCCTTGAACAAAAAGACTAGGGAAATAGGGAAGATCTTGTACAGAGGTATCTGTAGGAGAATGGAAGGTGCATATTTGAGAATGACGTGTATGCCAAATAAATTGGAGGGTTCTACGAGGAAAAGGAAGAAAAAGGGGTGGGAGGGGGTAGAGGCAAATTGACTGCTTCTAGAAGCATAAAGGAAATAAGGAATGATTAGGAAATCTCCTTTGGTATAAACTAAGACTTTCTGTTTTTCCTTTTTCTTTTTTTGAATGGTGGGTAGGGGTGTGGAGTTGGTTGCTGCAATGTTTTATTGTTGGAAAATTGGTGGTTGAGCTTGGTTAGGTTCATTGGACACTTTCTCTGTTAGGGGCTTCACGTTTGTTTGATATGGGGTTTCCTTTTGTGGTGTTTTGTCCCTTTTCTGCCTAGCTTGTGGGATGGGGCACTGTGGGACTGGTGTTGGGTTTTCAGTTCTCATTACATTCTGATTGCTTTTTTTTTCTTCTATGCAGGTTCCAAATGGTGCTGCTGGTCATTACCTTCTTGGGCTTGTTTATAGGTAGTGCACTTTGCCTTTATCCTAAAATTTATGTTTATTGACACCTCATTCTTGTTTTATCCTTAACCCTCTATCTGTGAGTTTATGACATAAGATCTCTTCATGTTCCTCATCTCTTGATGTATCTTGGGCTTGTTTATAGGTAGTGCACTTTGCCTTTATCTTAAAATTTATGTTTATTGACACCTCATTCTTGTTTTGTCCTTAACTCTCTATCCGTGAGTTTATGAAATAAGATCTCCTAATGTTCCTCATCTCTTGATGTAAACCTATTAAAGTTTCTTTGCTAGGACTGATGTAATTTAATTGTAACGTTGATTCACTGAAACTCATCATTGGTGTAATAATGGTAATAGTATTTTATTCCCTTTATTTTACAACATGTCTATGGTTCTATTTTTCATCTTGAAGTAAACGTCCGATGCCAGGGTGCTTGTGCATAGATGAGATATTATTAGATTGTTCTTGTTTTATTTAGTTTCACCTTCTCATTAACAAAAAAAAAAAGTTGCACCTTTATGACTTGTCTTAACTAATTTTCTTTTGCTGATCATCAACTATATATAAAGGAGCTTCTGTTTATTTGCCATATGTTGATTTGGTACATACATAGAGAACATGCTGTTATACTAGTTAGAAATTTATGGTTTTAAATGCTCTTGTTTTTATTTAGTTTCACCTTTATCATTACCAATAAAAGTTGCACCTAGGTATATATATGGGGAAAGAATGCTGAACAGTTAGGATTTTATGTATATTTGTATGCAGTTATGTACTGTCTTATATTATATTATGTTATGTTAAGAGAAACTGAATAACAAAATTTATTTAGAAAATAAAAGCAAGAGCCAGTATCCAACTAGGAATAAAAATGAAAGGATCTATTGAGACCCACCAAGGATCCAAGTGGCCCCAAAACAGAACCCAACCTACAAACAACTGATGAACATATACCACCCACAAAACTTAAGGCACAGACTTGCTTTGTGTCCCTAATCCCTACCACTAAAAGCTGAACAACTTCTTCTTACTCCAGCAACCTCTTCCTCTGTCCCTTGAATCACCAACTCACTCTCCCACAGCAAAAGTGGAATACCCTTCCTCTAGCCCCTTAGACAATGCCACTCCTTGTCATCTTTTTTTTTTTGTGATAAATGATAAGAATTTTATTAAAATAGGGATAGTAACGGAGTATCCCATAGAGAGGCACGATCCCTTGCTTGGCTGGACTATCAGCCATAGCATTAGCTGATCTCCCCACCCATTGTATTCTGACACACAGATTTCTTGTCAGCCACTTGAATTTCTTAAGTTCATTCTTAAAGCACCAAATCACAGATTCTGGGTTTTGTAGCCACCCCACAACCACCTTGGAGTCACCTACAATTAGTAGCTGTTCCACTCCTATCTGTACTGCAAACTGCACCCCTCGAAGGGCAGCTAGTAGTTCTGCTCTAGTGGAGTCCCCCACGCCTAAAGGGCCCGAGTATGTGAGTCACATTTCCACTTTCATTCCTTAGAATCCCTCCCATCCTGATGGACCCGGATTACCTTGGCTGTTGCCATCAAAATTCAGTTTTAAGAAGCCTTTATGAGGTGGTTCCCAACTCAAACACACCTTCTTCTTTACAGGGGAGCAGCTTGCCACTGGCACTGCTGCCTAATTCCTCCAGAGTTCATTAAAGAAAAATTGATGAAATAAGTCAAGGGCTTTCATCCACAAGATAGCTTCCTACAAAATACACTCCAACTTCTGTTGGCTTCTCTCCTTCTCTTGGAAGATCCTGGCATTCCTTTCTTCTCACACTGTCCATAACAAAGCTGCTCTTGCACACCTCTTTGAGTGGCCCTAGACCTTTTAGATTTGAAAATATGTGGCTAACTTATCCAGACTTTGCTTGTAAGGTGCAAGAGTGGTGGAATGAAGGGATAAAAGAAGTCCAAGGGAAAGGAGTAGCTTTTTATAGGAAATAAAAAAGGCTGGAGGTCAAAATCAAGGAGTGAAATAGAGAGCATTTTGGGAGAGTTGAGGAAAGGAAATTAAATGTGATATCCCAAATTAGGCTTATTGATGGCAAGGAAGGGTAGGGTGTTTTATCAGAGGAAGATAGGAGGCTAAGGTGGTCACTGAAGGAGTTGGAAGAAATACTAAATTTTTTCATGCAATAGCTAATGGGAGAAGACGAAAGAGTTTTGTGGAGAAATTGGAAGTCAATGGAATGATGGTGTCTGATCAAAAGAGATTGCTAATTGTTTCGGTAATCACTTTAAAGAGGTTTACAAAAGACAGGAGGGCACTAGGTATAGCCTGGTAGGCTTAGATTGGTCAAGCTTGGATCCTGAAATGGCACATTGGTTGGAAAGGGATTTTGAGTTGGAAGAAGTAAGGGGAGTGGTGTTCTCAATGAATAGATCTAAAGCTCCAGGGCTAGATGGTTTCACTATGGATTTTTATCAAGACTGTTGGGATATTATCAAGTTAGATCTACGGGCACTCTTTGAGGGGTTTGCTGAGGAACATTTCTTTAGCCTAGGGATTAACTCCACATTCTTAACATTGATACCTAAAAAGGGAGATGCTATTCAGCCAAGAGATTTCAGACCCATCAGTTTGGTGACTAGTATCTATAAGTTAGTGGCCAAAGTAATTTCCTTGAGGTTAAAAATGGTTTTGCCCTCTCTAATAAGTCAATCACAAGGGGCTTTCATCCAAGGTAGACAAATCATTGATCAAGTCCTAATAGCTACTGAGTGCGTGGAGGACTTCAAGAGAAGGGGAATGCAAGGTTTCGTTTGTAAATTGGATATGGAGAAAGCGTATGATTTAGTAGACTGGTCATTTTTGATGGAGATCTTGAGGAATTTTGGTTTTGGAGTTGGGTGGTGTGGGTGGACTGTAGGTTGTTTGGCAACTGCTCATTATTCTATGCTGGTTAATGGAATGGTTAGAGATTTCTTTCCAGCTACTAGAGGTTTGTGACAAGGGGATCCCCTCTCGCCCTTTCTCTTTACCTTGATAGTAGATGTTTTCAACAGACTTATCTTGAGAGCAAACATGATGGATTTGATAAGAGGATGAAGGGTTGGAAGAGAGGGCATTTTGGTAACACACTTACAGTTTGCAGATGACACTATCCTCTTTTGTGAGACTGGGGGCCCTCGGATAGCAAGGATTTTGAAAGGGGTGATAAAGCTGTTTGAGGTTGTGTCAAAGCTAAAGATCAAATTTCAAAAGAGTTGTGAAGTGGAGCTGAATTTAGAGGAGGAGGAATTGGGTGAGGTAGCTGAGGAGTTGGGTTGCCTAGCTTCTAGTTGACCTTTAAGATATTTGGGTTTACCATTAGGAGCCAACCCTAGGGAGGGAAGCTTTTGGAATCCTGTGGTGGAAAGGTGTGCTAAGAAACTGGCGGCCTGGAAGAGAAATTACGTGTCCCTTGGGGGTCGAATCACTTTAATTCAATCCACCCTAGAGAATCTCCCAATTTGCTTCTTTTTCGTATTTAGGATGCCACAAAGGGAATTGAAGAAAGTAGAGAAGATGATGAGGGACTTCTTGTGGGAGCCTGGAGAGGGAAGGAAGGATCATTTGGTTAGATGGAACTTAGTGTGCAAGAAAAAGGAGCAAGGGGGCTTGGGATTGGGTAATCTAGGAAAGAAAAACTCAGCTCTTTTGGGCAAGTGGCTTTGGAGATGGCCGTTGGAGAGGGAAAGACTTTGGCACAAAGTTGTAGGGAGTATCCACGGAGTAGAAGGCAATGGTTGGGATGCTGGCGTTTCTCGGAGGGCTACATTGAACTCTCCTTGGAAGGCAATCTATGGCGTTCTTCCCCAATTCTTAAACTTAATCAGTTACGATGTATGCACAAGGGATAGGGTTCTCTTTTGGGAGGATTTATGGATTGGTAATTCAACCCTCATGGACCTTTTCCCATCTTTGTATTCCCTCTCTCGCTTTTACAATGAACCAGTCCAAGGATTTTTCTCCTTCTTGTCTTCAGGGCTCAGTTGGGATCTGGGATTAAGGAGAGCTTTAAGAGACTTTGAGATTGATCAGACAACTCAATTACTTTGTTTACTTGATCATTTCTGGTTGGACCCTTCTAAACCGGATGCTCGTATTTGGTCCCCTAATTCTTTAGGCACCTTTTCTTGCGCCTCCTTTTTCTCCTCCTTATGCTTTGACCCCAGCTCTCAGCCTTTCCCTTGTAAAGAGGTCTGGGCTAAACTTGTTCCCCCTAAAGTGGGAGCTCTTTGTTGGGAGGCCTCACTTGAGTAATTAAACACCTTGGACAACCTACAAAGAAGAAGACCTTGTCTCAATATTTCCCCCAATTGGTGTGTCCTCTGCAAAGCAAATGGAGAGAGTTGTTACCATTTACTAATATCCTGTCTTTTTGTTGTTGGTCTCTGGGAAAAACTTTATAGTCTCTTTGGACACAGGTGGACAATGCTGATGCAGATTAGCAATCTTTTTGAACCTACAACTTTCAGATGGCCTAAGAAAAGAGGTAGAGTCTTGTGGAGGTGTGCTAGGGCTGAACTGGTTTGGACTGTCTGGGAGGAAAGAAATGCCATGATTTTTGATGAGAAGGAGAGGAATGAGGTAATTGTATGGGAATGCTTAATTTATAGAGCAATCAATTGGGTGAAAACCTTGGAACTATTTTCTCCTTTCTCCTTTGATGATTTATGGAGAAATTGGGAAGTGGTTGCCAAAAGTTCTAGCACGAGACCTAAACCGTCAATAGAGTGGAAGCCTCCTCAAGAGGGTATTGTTAAGTTCAACTTTGATGGTAGCAGTTTAGGCAATCTCGGTCCTTCTGGTGTTGGGGGAGTGTTCAGAAATACAGACGGCCTAAGCATTGCTTTATATTCTGGATCTATAGGAGTAGGGGATTCTGTTAATGGAGAAATTAAAGCAGTGGTACAAGGAGCTGAATTTGCCAAAGCACCAGAAACAACAGGCTGGTCCTATAAAGGGGCTTTATGTAGGTTCAAATGGCTAACAACAAACATGTCAGTTCAATTCCAAAGGGAAAGAAGATCAGCAAATGGGTTAGCAGATTCACTAGCTAAGCAAGGGGTGCATAGGAATCAGATGTTTTGGGCTAAACTGTAATTCTTTGTTTTATTATGAGGCTGCATCTCGTGCCTCGTCTTGGGAACTTTTTCTGTGTATCTTTTTGCTTCTAACCTATTAATAAAATCACTCATTATTCATAAAAAAAGGACCAAAGGAGCATGCTTACCTCTGCTGGCCTATTCTTTCTGCACCCAAAGATCAATAAGAGCCAATCCTACAACTCTGCAGTAATAGAACATGAGATTAGTAAATGGTAACAGTCCTCACCATGAGACCTGCAAAGAGTACACTAGTTAGGTGAGATGCAAAGAAAAGGTCTTCTCTTTTGTAGATTCTCGAGGGTGTTTACTTTCCCATAGAACACTTCCCAATAGAATGCCAACACCTAAGGGGAAACAAGCCTACACCAAACCTCCTTAAAAGGGAAAACTTGCTGGGATGAAGAATGACAAAGGGCCTTAAAGAAGGAAGCAGAAGAGAAATGATCAGAAGGCAGAGGTGTCCAAATCCTTTTGTTTGGTTCAGAGGGATCTAGATAGACTTTTTCAAGAAGGCTCAACAGGTTGGTTAGACTCTCAATCCCCTCATCCCTTAAACCTCTACAGAATCCAAAGTCCCAGATAGGTGCCAAAGGAGATTCCAAAGGGTAACAGAATTTTGACACATGCTCTTTTTTATACCAAGAGATAGTGAATAAGGATGGAAAGAGGTCCTTCAAAGGAGCCACTCCAACCCAATTATCTTTCCAAAAAAGGACCAAATTACCATCGTACACATCATGCCTTAGAAAGTTGTGAAGTTGAGGAAGAATACTGTGAATTTCCTTCCAAGGTGTTGCTAAAGTTGCTTGCTGAGATACCCCAACATCCCACCCGATCTTTGAATGACCATGAATACTTCCTGCCACCACAGCCTTTCTCTCTCTAATGGCCACCTCCACAACCATTTTCCCAATAAAGCCATATTCTTTTGCATTACATTTCCTATACCCAACCCTCCCTCTTCTTTGCTTCTACACACCACCTCCCATTTTAACAAATGATCTTTCCTACTTTCTCCTGGTTCCAAAGGAAGCCTCTCATCAAATTTTCTAGTTTCTTGGCTTCCCTAGAAGGAATCTTGAAGACAAACAGAAAATAGGTTGGTAAATTAGTAAGGGTAGCTCTAATCAATGTGATTCTTCCCCACAAGGAGATGTAATTCTTCTTCCACGATAAATCTCTTTTCAAACTTCTCTACAACCGGACACCAAAAACTACTCTCCCTAGGGTTTGCCCCTAAAGGAAGTCCCAAGTAGGCCATAGGCCAGGAAGAGATAGAACACTCTAAACACTTTGCAATAGCTTCCACCTCTCAACTCTCCCAAGTTTACCCCTGCTATACTACTCTTTTCAAGGTTGACTCTCAAATTGGATATTCTTTCAAATCTTTCCACCAACATCTTTAGATTTCTCACCTTCTCAAGGTCTCCCCCTTCACAAAGAATTAGTAAATTACCTGTGAATTGAAGATGGGTATCTGACATTCCTTCCCTATCTATTTTCCACCCATTTACTAACTTCTCCCTATCAGCCATTGAGATCAATCTACTAAGGACATAAGCTATAGAGTGAAGAGGAAGGGGGAAAGAGGATCCCCCCTGTATTACACCCCTACAAGCTGGAAAGAGGACGCCACTCCTTGTCATCACTCAGAACTTCTTTTGCTTTAGCAGTTTCACTTAAGACTCTGCCCCTGGTCTCGAGTCTAGTAAGGAAATCAACCATAGATGAAACTAAAATCTCCTAAATAAAAGTAGATACTAGATACTGACATGCTACAGTCTGCACCCAGTTGCTTGCCAATTATTCTTTCTTTAATATAATGGGACTGAAATGCCTTCTATGCAGAGACATATAATTGGCTGGGTTCTTAGGACCAGCAACATGTGCATGTTAACTGGGTTGTGCAGGCCCATTAAGTGAGGACTGCAATCTGTTCCATTTTTCTGGATTAGCTTGCTTGCTTCATCCAACTGCTACTTGTTAATAATCACATATTGTTTTAATAATGGGGTGCTATCAGCTATGCCTTCTATTAGCTTGTCATATAACATGCTTGGTTCTTAGGTTGAGAAACATGGGAAATGCCAAACTAATTATGTAGGTACATTAATGGGGTTTGCAGTCTTCATGAGTTGGGATGGATTAGCCCCTTGATATCACTTACCACTTTAGAATCATGATGGAGTTCCCATGAGATCAACAGCCTGGTTGTCATTAGGTTGAAGCTTTTGATTTTGAGCCTTTTTTTTCACTTTTTTTTTTTTTCTAAATCATGGGGATTGATAGAACAGACTGACACTAGATGACTGGGATTTTAGCCCTCACAAGAACTGTCAGTTGGATATTTCGTTCTGGTGCTCTGATACTACAGTTGTGGCTGTGCAGCACCTACCCTACCGATCCCCATGGTCAAAAGGCTCCAGACAAACAGTTTTAAGCAAATGAAAAACATAGCTGTTTTCTGTTGAAGTCCACCACAATTCATACCCTTACTGCTCTACTTTCATTTTATGACCTTTTCTTCTTCATGTTGATAATAACATGTATCTGTTTAGCTGATAGAGTGGCCATCTCTTCATGCTTTGTGTCACATTGTTGTATTCTGACTACTATATGTTGATTTAGTAGGATAGTCATGAATTTTATCATTTTTATGAAACAATTAGTTCCTAACATGTGACCAGAAACATTCACTTGTGTCCACAGATCAGCTAATGATCTGGCTGATGCATTTGCAAAAAAGTCTGTGACTAGAAATCAACTGTATTGAGGGGCTATTAATCAGGAATTTGACTCTTTGTAAGTTAAAGTACTGGAAAATTTAGGGTAGGCAGCAAGGGATGGCCTAAATGTTTTTTGGGGGTGCATGGTACATCCTTTTACCATGCTATAGTATTTATTTCAATACAATCTGGGAAGCTACTGATTAAAAAATTACTTGCTCACTTATGCATTTATGTATTGCTTTTATCATGTTTTAGGCAATCGGGCTTTATATCTACTGGTATCTGTGTTATAGGTACACTGATAGAAGAAAAAGTGCAGTTGATCACTTTAAGCAGGCGTTGTCAATGGACCCCTTGCTATGGGCTGCCTATGAGGAACTCTGTATATTAGGTCAGTGCAATGTATATTTCATTTCTCAATTTGTTATTGACTAGATATTTGGATTCTCTGTTCTTTATGGATTTGTAAACTTGTTTGACACTCTGATAGCTACCTTCTTGTTCCATTTGTTAAAGTCCAATGGTGAGAAAATCTCAAGTTAATTTTATTTATTCAAGGTTTTTAACTGAGCTTTTATTTGTTGCTTTCTTAGCTCATTTGGCTCTTATATAGAGTTTATGAAAGTTTGACATGCCAATATAATATTTTACATGACCTGCTCTTTGTTGCTTGGTAGTTACCTTGCTTCCTTCCCTTGGAAGAAGTCTATTTCCCCCTTCTGTAGTCTATGGGAAAGTTTATGGTTAACTTTGATGGGATGCTTTTATGAGAACTTGTGTCCCTTGGAAAATGGGAAGTTCTTCAGCACTCAGAGATGAATTAGGAATTTGGGGTCTAACATATTATATTCTTTAGCTCCTTGTTTGGGGTTTCAATATATGGCAAAGGCCTCAAGCTTCTTTTGCTTATCTCATTTTATGCAGGGCAATTAGATACTATTTTTCTGCTGGTTTTGATGGTCCATCTAGTGACAATATTCTTGTTCTGGATGGATGGGCAGATCTCTTTGTTGGATAAGCTTTTAGAAATATTGTACTTCCATGTGATGCTTATGGGGAGGCCTCTAAGACATGTATATGAATCAACTAAGGTTGTAGAATTCTTAACTGCTTTTTCCAGCCTTTAGCATAGGCCTTATACCATCATGGTGCTTTTGGGCATCATGCAACTTGGTTTTGCATTACCTTGATTATCACAACTATTGACCCTTATCCCAAATATTTTGGTTGGCTATGTGAATCCTATCATGCCATTCCACTCAATCTAGGGCTATGTCTTCTGCTAAGACATAAGGCTACAAGTTTTTTCTTTTTTCTTTCTCTTTGTTCTTCTGTCATCAGACAACACCTTGCACCACCAATGTTGCCACTGTAACTTTCTCTTACCATGTGAAAGATTGGAAACTACCACTAAGTTCTCTTGAATGTGGTCATTATGAACTAGGAAAGACAAAATTACACAATTGCCACTATCATGAGAAAATTCACAAGTCCCAAACTCAACTAATGAATATGAAGCTTAAACACAACTAGCTATAATTAAATAAAAACTCTATAGCCAGAACCCCCCTCCCACTGACATGTAAAGTGACGAAAATACCCCTAAATCCTATAATACAAGAGAAAAAATTCAGAAAATTCCATATTGTGACCACTTCACTCCTGCATCAAAAGGTACATCATATCACATCATATGTATGTATGTATGTATGTATGTATGTATGTATGTATGTATGTATGTATGTATGTATGTATGTATGTATGTATGTATGTATGTATTCAAAAGGTACATCATATCACATCATATGTATGTATGTATGTATGTATGTATTCAATTTCCCATTAAATGTTGCATACATTTAATGAATTCAATTTCCCATTTTTAGTGTGTTTTGTTTTAGACTTTTAGTATTCTATCCAAACTATCAAGTATTGTTATTTATGTTTCAGGGGCCGCAGAAGAAGCAAATGCAGTTTTTAGTGAAGCAGCTGCTCTTTGCATTCAACAGCAACAACTAAACCATGGTTTGAATCCCCAAAATTTGCAAATTGTCAGTGAGGATCGTATTACTGTTTTAAATAGGACCTTGGGCTCAGAAGACATGAGCCCTAGGCAGTTAAAAAATACACAAGGAAATAGTATTAGAGATATACCAGGAAATCATCATGGTGCAGTTCTGTCTGGTGGTCCAGCTAGTCAACCCTTCAATGGTGGTTCTTCTAACATGTCTGTGTATAGTACTCCTTCACCAATGCCAGCACAGGTAGGATGTTTTGGCCTCACATTGTCTGCTACATTGCTCCTTGACATGTTATATAAAATGGCATTCTTTTATTTTTTTTCAAGTTGAATTATCTATTTTCTGTGAACTAATAACAGTACATTGTTGTTTTTTCCATAAAATTTGCACCACAGATAAATATAACAACATGGAAGATAGATCCCTAACTCCCTTATTGCCTCGCAGTTATCAGGTGTTGCTCCACCGCCTTTGTGTAGAAATGTTCAGCCTAATATAAATATATTGAGTGGTGAAAGCTCTCCAAGGTCAACAGTAAATGCTACCATCCAAGGCCCTCGAAGAAAGTTTGTTGATGAAGGGAAACTACGGAAGGTTGGAGAGTTTTTTTTTTTTTTTTATCAATTCCTTTTTCATCTTCACTTCTTTTTTGGATCAATCCAATGATTTTTTTCTTGTGTTGACAAACATATGAATAAATAGTTTTAGCTAGTTGTAGCTAATGAAGATAGGGTTTAGACAAACTGAAAAGACAAACACCTTACCAACAAATTAAAATGACAAAATACCCTTGTTTAAAAATACAAAAAATGCATAAAAGAGGAAAAATCAGAAACCTTTTTCCTTTTACATTTGGGTTATCTATCACCCAACCTACTGCTACTAGTTGGTCTGGCCCAAGTTATACCCCTAGTTTTTTCCATTTCTTCTGATAAGAAAGATAATTTTTTTGTTCCTTGAAGTGGTATAAAGGTTAATACATTAGCTTTGGGGGGGGGGGGGTGAAGAGAGATACATTGAATTGGGGGCCAGTTATGGAGGGCTAGCCTAGAGGATGAGAGTGTTGGGGGCTGGTTATGTCCAGCCAATAGATACAGATCAGTGTTATCCTTTTTTTTTTCTGTTTCTTCCATTGTATTTCTTGGTGTGATTCTTTCTTTTTGTTATTCAATAAAGTTTTCTATTAACAACCACAAAGGGAAAAAAGCTTTTAACAATGTCCTGATAGCAATGTCTTTCATTTTACTCACTAAAGTTCTTGTGCCAATAATGCATGAGAGGGCATGGATGTATGGAGTATGTGCTATATCTACCAAATATTTAATTTCTTTTTTTTCCTCACTTCCAAGTTTTGATGGGTTGGCTATGTGTCCAACTCAATGTGAGTTCTAAGTAGATATATTGAATTGGGGGCCATCTATGGAGAGCTAGCCTACAGGACAAGAGTCTTCTGACATACTACCTATCTTTGCTGAAAATTCCACCTAAGGTGGCAGATAGGATTGAGAAGCTCCAAAGGGATTTTCTTTGGGATGGGGTGAGAGCGGGAGGAGTGGGAAGAAAATTTCACTTGGTAAGCTGGGATAAGGTGTGCAGGCCAAAGGAGAGGGGAGGGCTAGGGATAAGGAGAGTGGGAATTTTCAATAGGGCTTTATTGGGGAAGTGGCTATGGAGGTTCAGCTTAGGAGGGGAGGAGAGTTCCTTGTGGAGGAGGGATGTGGTGGGGAAGTATGGAGTTGTGAGATTTGGTTGGGAATCAAAGAAGGTGAGGGCTTCCTGTGGGGTGAGTGTGTGGAAGGGGATCATGATCTTCAACAAGGAATTTAAGGACCTAACAAGCTTTGTAGTGGGGGATGGATCTAAAATCAGGTTTTGGGAGGGTGAGTGGTGTGGGGTGGCAAGGCTCTGTGACCTATGTCCAAGACTGTATAGATTAACAGAGGCAGAAGTCACTATTAGTGGTTGCTACGAAAGGAGGGGAGAGCAGCTGATCTGGAGTCTGAAATTCAGGAGGCCTTTATTGAACAGAGAAGTTGAAGAATGCATTTCTCTCTTGGAGAAACTGGAGGGTATAAAACCTACAATTCAGCTCAGAGACAAGCTTTGGTGGAAAGAGTGCAAGAATGGCAAGTTCACATTTAAGTCATGTTATCTGGCTCTCAGCAAATCTATCTCAGATGTGAATCACATTAAGGGCATTTGGGGAAACCCAGTTCCTCCAAAAGTGGAAGCTCTGGCTTGGCTGATGGCAATGGACAGCATTTTGACAGCCGATAACTTGAAATCCAGAGGCTTTAACATGGCTTCCAGATGCTGCCTTTGTGAGGAACAGGAGGAGAACATGATTCACCTATTCATCTCATGCAACTTCTCAAGGTTCCTGTGGAATGTGTTTACTTCCATGTTTAGGGTCTCTGGATTTCACCCAACCACAACAGCTGAGATTTTTTCAACATGGCCTAGGCTGTCTGGATGCAAGAAGGTGAGGTTAGTATGGAGTTCTATCCCATTTGCAAATGCTGGAACATACGGAAGGAAAGGAACATGAGGACTTTTGAAAACAAGGCTTGTAGCATGGAGAAGATGGTTGCAGCTGTGGGCAGATCTGTGGTAGAATGGGTGTTGATTCTTCCTGAATTCAGTCATCAAAAAAGGAGGATTTTGGGAATGGGTTAGGAGAGATTTTGGGATATCAAATATGTAATGTAGAGCCTGTTATCTAATTTGGTAGTAGGCTCTTTTGTTTTTCTTTGTTTTCAGGTGCTGTCTCATCACCCTGATATGTAATTTCTTTTCATTTAATAAAATTTTTGCCATTTACTTATTAAAAAAGGATCTAGATCAGTGCTATCTTTTTTGTTTTGTTTTTTTTTTTTTGTTTCTTCATTGTTTTTCTTGTTTCAATTCTTTCTTTTTGTTATTCAATAAAGCTTTCTATTAATGACCAAAAGGCAAAAGGCTTTTAACAATGTCATGATGTATGGAGTATGGGCTATATCTACCAAATATTTAATTTCTTCTTTTTCTTTTCTCGCTTCAAGTTTTGATGTGTTGGCTATTTATCTGACCCAATGTGAATTATAATTTATAAGTAGATGCTATTTAGGAAAATATTGCTATAAATCAGTACTTAAATTTATGCACTTGACATGCCCCTTTAAACTTATGAACCAAATATATATATATATATTTATTTATTTATCATATCATTCTATCTTTTTAATTTTTTGTTACTCAATAAAGCTTCTATTAATGATCAGAAAAGGAAAAATGCTTTTAACAATTTCATCATAGCCATGCTTTTCATTTTAACTCTCCAAAAGTGCTCATGTCAATAATGCACAAAGAGCATGGGTGTAGGTATGGAGCATGTACTGGATCTGTCAAATATTTATTTTTTACTTTTTTCTTTTTTCACTTCAAGTTCTGATGAGTTGGGTATGTATCCAACTTGATATGAATTATAAGGAGATGTTGTTAGGAAAATATTGCTAAAAATTAGCACTTGAATTTATGCACTTGACATGGCCCTTTAAACTCATGAACTAAATTTTTTTTATAACATTTTCTTTTTAATTTTTACAGTTTTTCTGAAAGTATATAATGGAATCTTTATTGCATGCCGGTGATGATGACACATCTTAACATATGCGTCCCTTTTGCTAGGCTTAAATATCCATTGAAATAGAACTTTTTAAAACTTGCTTGTGATATGTTATATGACTTTCATATCAACTGATTTGATGTGTACAGCAGGTCAGTTTAACATGGCTCTGTCCAGAAAGTCGGATGCATATTGTAAAAAGTTGGGACGTTTTGCAGACAAAATAACTATTCAAAATAATGGGTGGCATGGTCTAAGAGAATAAATAACCACATCTCCCTCTCCAAATCCTTAAATGGGGCATTGTCTTGAGTTTATTGGTTAAGAATGAGTGAATGACATTAAAAACTGAAGAGATCAGGTGGCATGATATCATTGAATCTTGGAATGGTCTTCATTTTTCAGGCAACATTTTTTTTTTTTGAATTATGTTTCTCTTTAACATATTGATGGAATTATCAGGTAGTGTAAGTTCATCAACATATGCATTTGGTGGATTTTGTTAGAGATCAGCTTTTAGGGTAAAATACTAAAAAACAAAGAAGTCTGATGTTGGATTATCATATTTGTGCATAAAGACATCATTAGTTATTTGTCTTGTTTTTCCTTTTTTTATTTTTATTCTACATGTTATTTGCTTTGTTTTTATTGGTAATGGAAGTCTTTTGACTATGAAGAACATGGAGGAAATGGAGTGCAAAAAAAAGGGAAGGCTTATCTGACTGTGTGTAGGATCCCTACAAACACCATCACCATTCTTAGATAACTCATCTGCCAAGTCCTTTCTGGATCTTGGCATAACAAGGAGTCATATATTCATATACTATGTAAAGGCTTGGAGTTCTAAATTGATATAACTAGTGTTAAAGTCACTTTCTTGGATCTTTCAGCCACCCAATTACACATTCTTTTACTGAATAATATGTGTTTTTTTATTATTTTTCTTATACTTGAATAGAAAACTATGAAGGGTTGTTTCCTGTTGTCTCTATATTATTCTGCTGTTTCTGGTTTTGTGCAGTTCTCATGAACTCCCATGATATGTTGCACTCCTGAAGGGACTGAAGTTCAGGTTGAGACTTAAGTTCAGAACCTTCATTCTTGCATACCAAAATCAGTAGCTTTTTTTTCTCATTCCTCTAAATTTGATCCTGTTCTTTGGTGGTTTTTGTCTTCTTTCTTGAGTGGCCTTTTTTATTGATACCGCCGCTTCTTTATTCTCTCTCTTTTGTTTGTAGGTAGGCACCAAAATTTGTAAACCCTTAATTTTCTTGTCTTTGTACTTTCACTTTGTAGTCAGTTCAGTTGCTTGATTATGTCTTTGTCTTGTTATCTGTTGGTTAGACTTGGAGTGCAGAAATTTTATCCATCTTTTACTCATGTTGCTTCGCTTCAGGTGCATGCTTGTGTTTCTTGTATTTTCAGGATAATCTTATGTACCTGTTTCTAATCCTTCAAAATATGGATTATTTCCATGATATTTAATCATGTATGTTACTATCTCATCTATTGTCGGGAATACCTAACATATCAGTATATGAGTCTTGCTTGAGTATAATTGCCTTGATGTTTGTCTGCAGGTTTCAGGAAGGTTATTTTCTGATTCTGGGCCTAGACGAAGTACAAGACTTGCAGGAGAAGCAGCAGCAAATTCAAACTTGAATGCTCCACAAGTTGGAGCAAATGGAGCTGGCCATTCTTCTGCTAGGTATCTTGGAGGGATTTCTTCATCATCTAAATTGGGCTTGGCGGCTTCTCGTTCAGGGGCAGTTCGTAAGGGACAAACAAGTGCTAGTGAAAGTTTTGATGATGGTGATAAACTTCACTATGATTTTTCCTTTGAGAATTTATCTTTTTTTTTACTCTCTGTTATGCCCACTTACCATTTATGTGAGTGCTTGTATCCAGCTCTATCTAATACATGCTATCACCTTACTAAGTTTTTGCCCTACTTACATCCATTCTGTATTAACTATGCTTAACACCATGACCCTGTAAAGTTGTGGAATAGAAAGGCCATAGTTGGCAAGGCATCACCTAGGTCACTAGGTGCCTTGCCTAAATGCCTCGACTTGTGGTAAGTAGTAACAAGGTGCCCATTTAGACGATAAAAATGACAAGGCGAACACCTTATTATAATATCATTCATATTACTATATCTTACTTATATGCGTGCTGATACATTCTATTATGTTAGTACCATTTACATTTTATATATATCATTTACACTTTATTTTAAAGTTTTACTATTGGAATTTAAAAGATTAAAGGGTTTTGAGAAGAGAAAAAAAAAGAAATAATAAAAGTATAAAGAGGTTTCTTTTTCTTTCGTTTTTTGTATTCTCTCTCTCTCTCTCTCTCTTTCTTACATTAAATAAAAGAATAACTCCACTCTTGTTCTTTTTCTCTATTACCTTCTATGTTAAACTTTTATCATATAATAGTATAGCAAAATATGGCCTTTAATTGCTAATTGACATGAAATTGCTCTATTAAATGTTTATTATGTTAGTATTATTTATTTTTGAAAGTATTGAAATCAATATATTTAAAATACTTTTATCTTTAGATACAATGCTTTACCATGTTTTGAGAGGAAAATTAATGTTCTTAATAAAGAGAATTGCTATTCTTTCAATTAATATGTGTAGAGAGACTGGACCGAATGGGCTCTAGTGTCTATTTTATGTTTCAGTAGTAGGTTATTTATTTTGTATGCTAATGGGCCTGTTAACTTCTTTTAAGTTATTTTAAGTTTATGCTTAGCTGGACGCCCCACTTAAGGGCTGATTTGTAATTAACCGCATTAGTGAAGATTAATAAATGGATTAGTGAGGGGAGAGAGGTGATTATCGAACCCTCTTCTTCTTCTCCATCCCCTTCTTCTATTCTGCTGTTTTGTTCTTCCTTTCTCACTTTTTACTTCTTTAATCAGGTTTCTTATCAGATTTAGAAGTCGGATTTACTTCTATATGCATGCAGAATGGTTTAGAAAAGTAGGGATCCATCCAGAATTTAGTTCTTTATTTTATAAAGTTTTTATTGGCTAGGTGCCCCCCCAAGGCAATTAGGCACCCCACCATCACCTACAATCACCGAGAAAGAGTTAAATAAGGCGTTAACACCATGAACCCTATATATTGTAATAAACACTATTTAACATTTGGTTTTTAAAGTTCTTTACAAGGTCACGATCATTATATGTACGGTACTAGCATTAGGGTTGCAACTTGGGTGGGCCAACCTAAGCCTGGATCAATCCAGCCTACATTTTTGCATAGGCTGGGCTTGGAACTAGCCCTTAGGTAGCCCAAGTTTGGCTTGAGCCTGGCACCTTAGCCCGATCCTAGCCCAATACAAGCTCAGCTTGACTATAGGCATACATACATAAATATGTTGATACATATTTGCATGCATACACCTACAAATCCTAAAGGTGTAAATTAGTGATACTAAATAGGTTCATGCAACTTTTTAGTACATTGGGCCTAACATGCCTGCTTGAGACCAATTGACCATTCTGAGCCCAACTCAGGCCCAGGCCCAACCCATGTATGTCAATTTTCAGTTTGGCTAGGACTGCTAGGCTTGGGCTGGAAAGATTGGACTTGACCCTGGTCTCAGTCTGGGCTTGGGTCTTAAGCCCAATATTTAGGGCTGGACCTTAAACCTGGCCAAGCTTGCCTGACCTGCATCCCTAGCTTTCATTTCTCTTAGAATTGATTTTTTAGAGATATTATTGCATGGATAGATACCGATAAGTATCATCAAATATCCGCAAGAGGAAGCCACATTTTAAGCAAGATGGTAACGTTTGCTATTTTAGTGATGATCTTTGATAGTGCTTATGGATCAGTACAAGAATTTATGCTGATGTTGTCTTGCTTCTCATGGATTGGTTGCTAGTAATAAAGGACTTAAATGAGGCAAATAGGGTTAGTTCTGGGAGAAATTAGGAGTTTTGAAGTTCCTTTTTTTCTCTATTTTTTATTTGGGAATCTGCCTTAGCCCCTCTTCTCTCATATACTCGTGAGTTTCTAAGTTTCTATAATTTTTTTTTTTCCTTTATTGGTTTTTTGAGTACATATCTCTAAGGAGATTAATATGTAAAAAAAATGTCACAAGTTTATTCTTTTAGTTAGGTCTCTGTTTCAAATTTCTATACTGCTACTTCGGTTTTCAAATATGTATTCTTGGTCTTTTTTATGCTTATATATACTCGATGGCTCACTGAAAGAATGATAGAGCTTCCACTTTAATCTTATTGTAGGTAGACGATCTGAGTCTTTTGATGACACTCGTTTAGATAATGCAACAACAAATTCTTCTAGCGCATCTTCATCTGGTGATGATAAATCTCTTGAACGGGAGAGAACAAGCACACAGATGGGTGGGGTTCTCACAAATGGTTCAAGAATTTCAAGTGGTGTTTTGGAACTACTTGACCTTTTGAGAATTCTTGGTGAAGGCTACAGACTTTCCTGTATGTACAGGTGCCAGGTATTAATGGTGGTTGTTGGAAAATAAATAAATAACTACATAAATACTGCCTCTTCCTTGACGATACAGATTTTGATAATTATTTAATGCTTTGAGATGGAACAGGATGCATTGGATGTTTATGCAAAGCTTTCACACAGGCAGTATAATACGGGATGGGTGCTTTCCCAGGTAGTTTTTGTGTTCTCAAATTATCTGGTTTACCCATACTCCATGTTTAGTATTAATGTCGTAGCTATCAAAGTTATGAATGAATTGCATTTTATTACATAAAAAATGGGATATTATAAAAAAATATCATGATTTATCCCAATTCTTTGTAAACATTATGTATTTTAATATGTTTTGGTGAATAGGGTAGAGGAAGAGTTTTTGCCTCCCGTCAACCATTCTGCAAGTTTGTGGATTTTGTAGTTTGGCTCCAAGAAAAATGTTGTTCAGGATGTGAGAAAGTTAGAGATTTTAAGCCACCTTTACCACCATATTGCAGATTTTAAAATCCTCAATTTTTTGTTGGGGGTAGGGTGGGGTATCATTTTGAATCCACCAGTCTTAGGGGAGGTGGAGTCTGGTTCCATTTCTTCCCCCAAATCCAAGCAAAGCTAGTTAGCTTTTTAAAGAAGACAACTTATAAAAAGTTGCATAAAGTAAGTCTTATATTTTGCTTAAACAAATAAAAAATTTCACATTGAAATATGGGAAAATTAAATTTAAACTGTTTAAAAAGGGTAGCTCAGTGCACAAGTCTCCTACCAATGTGGGGTCTGGGGAGGGACAGATTTATGCAGCCTTACTCCTGCACATACAAATGGGCTGTTTCCAAGATTTTAACTGTTTCTTGGACATAATTAGAGATTTCTATGATGGTGTCTAGGAGTTTTTTTTCTATGGAAAGCATATTTGTTCTTTCATTATAACTAATAGATGAATTGTTTGTACTTCAATTCTTAGAAGCAAAATTCTTAAATAGTTTCTAGAACAATTGGGTTCAAATGTTTCTTATTTATTTATTTACTTTTTCTTTTCTACTCTTAAGTTTTAATTTTCAGGTTTGGAAGATCTTTCAAATAATTTCGATCTCTTTCATTGGTCATAAACTGTACATATTTGCATATTTATTCTTACCAACTGCATCCTATATAACATTTACTCTAGAGTCTGTTTTGCACATATAAAAGGTTAGATGGGACTGATGGCCTTTATTTTTTTTTTTCAAAAACAGATTGTAAATTGATTATTTGATGCAGTCCTCTTGTTTGTGGTAACTATACACCGGCATATCAATGATTGGAAGACCTATAAGAACCCATCCTCCAATAATTTATTTTTTTATTTTGTTTCTTGTTTCTATGGTATATACTATTTTTTGTTAATAATGGTTCTATATATGATATTATTTTAAATAATTATAGATAAAAATAGGAGCCGTTAATTGGTTTAATGGTAAAACCTTATGATGTCAAGCATGAAAATGTTGGTTCAAATTTGAGAGTGGCCACTTATTGAGAAAAAATGCCAAAGTTTAGGACCATATCCGTTACATCCCTCCCAAGACCCTAGATAGGTGGGACCAACATTGGGTAATGACCTTTTTATAGATAAACACATAAATAAGACTTTAAAATAAATTGACTAGGTTAGCTAGGCCACCCAGTGTTTTAGAACCTGACCCAGAGCTTGAGCTGTTCTCCCCTCTGGATCAGTGGTCCCTGGTCAACCATCTGAATCAACCTGTGATGTCATTGACTTAACAAATTTCAGAATAAAAATATTATAGCAGAACCTGGTAATCCACTGAACAGGTCAGATGGGGTAATGGTTTAACAGCCCAGGTCTATTGATCAAGGTTCAAAGTATCAATATGCCCCTGTGTATCGGCAGGGGTGTATCGGTACTAAAAAGTAACCGCTCAATGTTTTTTTTTCTTCAAAATTTGATTTTTGGAGATGTTTTTTTACTGAAATAAATGGGTGTCCTGAAACACCTGTAAATAGGTGTATCGAGACCAAAAGATACAATACAATACGTGGGGCATATCGTATTCGATTCTTTGAACCTTGCTATTGATCGTTAACCAAGTCAATGGACTTTTGTAGTAGTGGATTGAAGATTGACTTGAACTGGTATTATGACCCGGTCACTGGTCCATCCAGATGGGTTGAAAACACTGAGGCCATATAGATGTTAGTTGATCTGTCGATCTAATAGATGCTTTGTTGACCCAGGCAACCACATGCAATCAGTCTGTGACTAGGCACTTTTATAACACTGAAGCCAATCAACTCTTGGAATTTCATCCCATTGACTTTGTCTCATTGTTACCATTCTAGACATGTACAATAATTTGTTGATTAAATACTTGGACCATTGCCTTTTTGTCTAATGCAATAAATGGAGTTCTTATCCAACATTTATGAATTATTGTACATGTCTATGAAAAGCATATTTTGAGCTGGTACTACAACGTTTATGAATGACTATTTGGCACTACAACGTTTATGAAAAGCATATCCAACGTTCTGAATATTTGGCACTACAACGTTTATGAATGACTGATGCAGGTTGGAAAAGCATATTTTGAGCTGGTAGACTATTTAGAAGCTGATCAAGCTTTTTCTCTTGCACGTCGAGCATCACCTTGTAGTTTAGAAGGAATGGATATATACTCCACAGTTCTTTTTGTGAGTTCCTTTCTGTGTTGTGAGTTTTGTTGCAGTTTTCCAATATTGTTGTTATGTGTTTCTATCATATCTGGATGCTTATAGTACATGTATATAAATATTGTCTGCTCCAATAGCGGCAGTTGATAATGGATTTTTACTTCTATAACAATATTGCATTTTTGTTTTTACCATAGATGTCAAGGACCCAAGGTGTCTAGGTGATTAGTGTAGTGTGGGCCTGGCATTAGCCCAAAAAAAGGGTGTCGTTTGCAGGTCAGAGGTTCAACTGGGGTCGCACCAGAGGTTGAACCTTGACACGCACACAGACACACAAGGCCAGGTTGTATTTTTTTATTAAAAATTAAAATTTGAGGCCAAAAGGGAGTTTTTAGCAAATATAGTGGGGCATGACACCGTTGGCCAAGTTATGGCCTTCGGAAGTTTGAATTTATGTTTTAAAAAAATTCAAAAAACTGGCCAGTTTTCTAAAACCGGGACAGGTTCATTGGTTTTTTGGTTTGACCGACTGAGTTGATGATTTTGGCTGGTTTTTGGTGACTTACTGTTTTGGGGGTATGACCGAACTGGGTAGGGGCCTGGGTCACAGTTCAACCGGTCCGACTGGCCGGTCTGGTCCAGTTTTCAAAACAGTGGTGCCTATGCATCACCTAATTGATTGAATTTTACGTAGAGAAAAACTAAATTCTAGGTTACTTTCTTAAATTTTCATGTTAGTCAGCATTCATATAAATTAAAAAATGGAAATGCTATTTACTAATAACATTAATTTTCCTCTCAAAGCATAGGTAAACATCATATCTAGAAGGCAATAGCATTTTAAATTATTAGCAAGCAAGAAGGGATATAATTTTATACCACTAAAAAGATTTTAAGAGACGATTAACAAAAAGAGAAAAAACAAGGGCACGGTCCTTTTTTTTTTTTCTATTTATTGTGTGTGAGATAGAAACTACAGAAAAAGGTGTAAACTCTTTATATTTCTCTTCTTAAAACCCTGCAATCTTTTTTGTTGATAAAATCTTTAACCAAAGCATAGACATAAATATATGATATGATGTGTTAATACACATAATCATAAGGTATAGCTATAATGATGTTACAATAAGGTGCCTACCTAATATTTTTGTTGCCTACGTGGGCACCTAGTTACCCAGATGGATACCTTTTTAATATAAACCACAGGGTTTAGCAAGGCACCTGGCACCCCACCAAGGGTGCCTTGACAACTACGATTTTTTACTTTAAGTTACTTGTGATTTTTGCAATATCCTTATTATTTCTCAACATAAATGTATAAATGGTCTAAACTAGCAAAGATTTCTATTTTTTACTAGCAAAGATTACTATTATATATACTGGTAACAAGAACCAAGTCATAATATTGCTCCTTTAGGCTATGTTTGGTTTGAAGGAAAAGGTAGGGAAACCTTTGCCTTCCTTTCCCTACTTTTTCCTTCAAACCAAACACAGCATTAGTAGATGCTATCAGTAGGTATCAAGAAGCAGGAGATGCTGTTGTTAAATTGGTTGGGATAGAAGGTTTTTTGTGGCTTCTGTGGGGATTTCTTAGGAGTGTTCCCTCCATTGTTAGATTGGTACGTCTACAAATGCAAACCCAAATATTGGAAGCTTTTGGCAAGGTTTAAAATGTCAGTGTCGGTGGAAATGTTGGTCGTCCAAAGTATCGATACACCTCTTTGAACCACACACCTTTTATTTTTTTAGTTTTTTTTTTAAATTTCAGTTTTAAGACTGCTTTTACATATTATTATATATATATATTATTTAATAAAAAACGGTTCCCAAAAACACCTGTAAACAGGTGTATTGGGCACATAAAGATATGATACAATACACCCAATACAGGGCGTATCGTATTGATACTTTGAACCTTGGTGGAAACATTGTACAATATGCTAAATATAGAATGATATTTTATAAAAAAGAAGCATAGGCACACCTTTTTAAATTATTATCTTGTTCTTAATCATTAAACAAAGCTAAGAAACTAAGATTATAGACATCATAATGCATTCTGAAGCCTTAAGATTCAAAGCTTCATGATAGAATGAGTTAAAACAAAATTTAAACTCAGASWWAATGTA